ACGTCTGGGATACCCAGCCCTGCAGCTTTTGGGTATAGAAATACCAAAAATATAAATATGTTGCTGTTCCTTTTAGGTCCCTATTACTCTCTATGACAATTGTCCCAAGGATAATCCTGCTTATTACTGTAACAAAAAGACAAGCTGTAAAAGCTGTGCCATGGATCAAAACTGCCAGTGGGAGCCCAGGAATCAGGAGTGCATCGCTTTGCCAGGTGGGTACTGGTTATATTCATGTAAGAAAAAAAAAAAAAACCAAACCAAATTTCAAGTTCTTGAGGGTTTTTTTTCAGTTCAGTTTTATTTTTTTCGCCCCCCCCCCCCCATCTATAATTTTTTTAGTGCTAGGCTGGAGTAAATAATGTTGTTTAATCATACCAGCTCTGGCATGAAACTTAATTTCTGGCCAATCCATCAAGTCTGCTGGAATATTTTTCATTTTCCCGATTGTCTGATGAGGGCTGTGATCATTTGTGTAATTATTAGGCTGTATTTCATCTCTCCCTTTTCCATTTGATAAAAGCTGTTGATAATAGGCTCCTGCAAGATATTAGAGTTAATAATGCATGCTATTTAATTTGGGGAACTAAATTTGTGCAAAAGCATAATGGCACATACTGGACAAATTAGGCAAGTAACACCTGAAGTGTTTTAGGAAAATTCTCCTATTAAAGTGCTTCCAGTGGAGCTCACAGGAGCTGGTTATTAGTCCCCTTGGAGTAGCTTTTTTTTTTTTTTTTTAATCCCAATGACTGGGGGGGAAAAAAAATGCAGGATCTTCAGTGATTAACATTTGCAGGTAATAAAATCTAGAGAAAGGGGAAAAAAAAAATCCACCAGGCAGGATGTTTTAATGGGCATGGAAAGCCCTGCCCCAGGAACTCTGATAAGCTTGGACGTGTCCAGGTCTGCTTTTGACAGTCTGGAAGAGTTAAAAACTGAGGAGACTTTGGATGAGAGCCATGAGAGTGAGAAAACCATCTTTTAATGAGGTAGATCAAGAGCTTGGTGTGTTTAATTTGATGTAGAAGAGGGGGGTGACTCGATCATGGGTGTAAAAAGCCCATCTGAAAAACTGACACTTGAGAGCTTTTCAATCTGTTCAAGTCTAAATTCACGCTGGAAAGGCCCACCAGGGTTTTTTTTTTTTTGTACGGGAAATAACGAACCACGGAGCGTGAGGAATTCTTCAGGAGTGGAATTGTGCTCAAGATGAACCAGGGATTAATCCTGGAAGTTCATGCCAGGGACAGGATTTAAGACAACAACTCTCTCCTGCCAAAAGGTCCCCTGGAAACTGTTGGTGAATAAGTGGCTTTAAGGCACCAACAAAATACTGGTTTGGTTTCTTTTCCTCTTTCTCCTGCAAGGATTTTACTCTTCCACATTGTACAGAGTGCTTTGATCCCACACTGCAGGTAACTCAGTGCTGGTGTCAGACTTCAGCCCCCCTAAACAGCTTTTCTTCTCCAGTATTAGGATTTAACAGGGGAATATTGCTGGATAATAACAGGGGAATACACAGGATATCCCACTAATTAAGTGTAGAGTAAATTCCTAAAAACCCATGGCACCCCTTCCCTAAGAGTGTTGAAACCCTCGTGTTGGGGAGGAAAATCAATGCTCATCACTAGTTCTGGGCACACCAGTAAGTCAGACTGGTTTGAGGGGAGGGGGGGGGCTGTAGGTTTTACTTTAGTAGAAGGGGTTCATGGAATCATTAAAATTGGAAAATACCTCCAATATCATCAGCAAATCCAACCTTTGACCGAATCCCACCATCCCGCTAAACCACAGCAGGAAGGGCCACTTGCACTCCATTTTCCTGGACGTTTCCAGGGATGGGGGACTCCCGACACTGCCCTGTTCTCCCCCTCCTTTGAACACCCTGAAGGTCACCTGTGTCTCTGGCTTTACTCTCTCTTTCCCTCCCTTCCCCAGAAAACATCTGTGGAACAAACTGGCACTTGGTGGGCAACTCCTGCCTGAGGATCACCAACGCCAAGGAGACCTACGACCATGCCAAGCTGTCCTGCAGATCCAGCGGTGCTGTGCTGGCTTCCCTCACCACCCAGAAGAAGGTGGATTTTGTCCTGAAGGAGCTGCAGAAGATCCAGTCCTCGGTGGGTGGTTTTGTTTTTTTTTTCTGCCCCCTGAGTAATTAAGAGAAGTCCTTGCCGGGGTATTTTGTGTGCTCTGTACACAACACAAATGCCTCTTAAACCCAAAAGGACTGATTTCCTTTTGAAATTCAGTGCACCCTCTGGGTGATTCTGAGCTGAGGTTGTAGGGAATGGAAATGGGAAAGGTAAATAGAAGCACACAGAGGTGCCTCAGAGGGATCACTCTCTGTAATGGAATCACCCCCGTGTTTCCCTGGGGGCATCCAGGGCTGCAGCAGGAGAGCCCTCTCCTGACTTGTACACAATATTTTATAAATCAGGGTCCCAGTGGGGGGGCACTGGAAGGTGTTTAATGCAAAGCACTGCAACTTATTTATTCCACTCAGAAAAGCAGCTGTTTAAAATGTCACCTCCTCTTGCTTGGCTTATTTGGAGTTATTTACGTGGCATTCAGGGGGCAGGTGCGCTTTTTTTTGTGGGAGCCAGGGAGAAGTGAATTGGAATCTGTCCCTCTCCATGCATCAATAAAATAAATACATATATTTTTGCAGTCCTTGGTGGGGGGAAGCAGGGAACGTTCGGGGCAGGTTGTGTAGGTGGTGCTACAGCCCTGACGGAGAGCGAGGCAGGGCAGCGTCCCTAAAATCCTGGCTTAGGCTGGGAAACTGCTGGGACTTCGTGGCACGTCAGAGCAACCACTCCTGGGTCCCAGAGGGCACTGTGGGAACAGTTTCATCCAGGAAAAATGAGGCTGGAGGCAGTGGGATTGCTGCTTTGCAGGGGAGAACGTGCCTCAGTACTTAAAAGAAGTATTCCCCTGTCGAAACAAGAACATTCCCTGCTTTGATTCCCTTTGTAATTTTGAAGTGGAATTTCAGCAATTACAGTGTTTTAGAGTGGAGTCAATTTAGCCAAGGAATGGTAAAGTGTAATTTAAGCAGGATTGTTTGTTAAATCTTTTGTAAAGAGGAAACCAAGCCTGGGATGTTGTAAAAGTACCTGGTTCTGACAGCTCCAGGTGTTTCTGGAGATCCCAATAGTCAAGTGTAGAGTTAATTCCTAAAGAAACATGGCAGCAGTTCCCTAATAGTGTTTAAATCCAAACACTGGGGAGAAAAAAAATCATTAATTTACAGGGTTTTTTTCCTACTTATGGTGCCCTTTGAAAAGTGAGTCTAAGGAGACTGCGAGCCTGTTGTAGGAAATATCAGTATGGAATGCTTGTCATGTGGGAAACCGGATCCTGGGCTGATCCCCCAGCGTGGGCAGCAGGACAGGGGGGGATTCTGCCCCTCTGCCCCCTCAGTGAGACCCCCCTGCAGAGCTGCCCCAGCCCTGGCAACAACAGCACAAGGACGTGGAGCTGCTGCAGAGAGTCCAGAGGAGGCCCCGGAGATGCTGCCAGGGCTGGAGCCCCTCTGCTCTGGAGCCAGGCTGGGAGAGCTGGGGGGGTTCCCCTGGAGAAGAGAAGG